GTATCACAAGGTTTGACAATCTCTCCCCTTCTGTTTAACTGTGGCATGAGATCATCTGCCAGTTTGGGGTCAGATATCATCAATATGTGAATGATACTGAGTTGTGTATCTCAACCCCTGGCTGGCTGAGTGATGTGATCAAAATCCTAACTCAGTGCCTGGAGGTTGGGCAGGTCTGAATGGGGAGGAATAGGCTCAGACTCAATCTGACAAGACCAAGTGGCTGTATCTTGGTGCCCCTGGATCTGGAGGCATTCCATCACCAATTTTCAGTGGGGTTGCACTTCCCCATCTGAGACTTGTGAGCAATCTGAGGATCCTCTTGAACTCTCATCTCCTGCTTGTAGAGCAGGTAGAAGCTGTGCCCAAGAGGGTCTTTGCACACCTACATCTAGTGCACCAGTTGTGCTCTTTCCTGGACTAGGAGGCCCTTTAGAAAGTCACTCATGCCCAAGTCATATGACAATTGGATTGCTGTACAGTAATGTACTTTACATGGGGCTGCTCTTGAAGACCTTCCAGAAGCTAAAGCTGGTTCAGGACATGGCAACATTGGCAGTGCTGTGTTATGTGTGTGTCATTCCACTGCTTCAGAAGCTGCACTGCTAATTGGTTAGCTTCCGAGTACAATTCAAGGTGCTGGTTATCACCTTTAAAACCCTTCATGGCAGAGGGCCTGGCTATCTGAGGGACCACCCATCTCCAGTTGTCTTTTTTTGTCCAATTTGATCCAGCAGGGTGATGGTGCTCCTGGCCATCAATTAAAGAACATAATCTTGCAGACCCAGAAAGCATGCCTACTTTGTTGTAATTCCTACCTACTAGAATGATCTATCCCCAGAGATTTGTGTGGCTTCTACCTTTATGTTGCTCAGGAAACTATTGAAGACTTGGTTGTTCTCCCAGGCCTTGGGGACAGGGTGATCATGGAGCCCTTTTTTGTTTTCCTTCATTTTGTTTTGATCTGTTTTGCTTTTGTATTGGCATTTTGTTCTAATCAATTATATTCTTTTATAAGTTGGCTTTTAGTTGTAAGCTGCCCAGAGTTGTTTAGGAGTCAATCAATCAATCAATCAATCAATCAATCAATCAATCAATATAATTATCTATAATGCTAAATTATATTAAATATTATATAACTATAATATGTTAACATTTATGATAACAGAAATGTAAGAACCACTTATGTATAATTGCTAAGTTGACAGATGTATTCAGGTAGTCACCTGTAGTCAACTCTTGAGTCAATGTTATCTACATCTAATCATATAGCTAACTTTATCCATCATTAATTTTTTTTTCATATTTAATTATTTGGATCATCTAAAGTTTTCATATTTAATCATTTGGATAATCTAAGATCATTCAAATGTTATTTCCCACAATAGCATCATCCAGATGAATGAACTTTGAATTCCACAAATAGCATGACCCTTGCTCATAATTCTGGAAGTAGTTCCATGGAGTCACCGAAGATGGAGAAGACTGTTGCAATGTTTCTTCAATTACTTTAGTTCTTCAACTATTTGGCTGCCATTTTTATATCTTTTCCACTTCAACAATTCTCTTTTAAGATGATGTGCCCAGAACTAAGCATTGTATACTATATGATATCCTATTTATTTACTTATTTAACTAAAATATTTGCTTCCATAAAGTGTCACAAGGAAAACCCACTGCCTGCATGATTCTGAACTTTGTAGGTATAGAGGCATCACAGCATCTGATTATTTTTTCCAAGGGCTTCATTGCTACCCTACCAACTGCTAAGCTACTGCATATTTCTTGACTGCTGGTTCCTTTACTGTTGTTGATAGTCAGTCCTAAAAGGTAGAAGCTAATCACCATTTTAATATCTTCATTGTTGATTCGAATGCTTGTTGCTGTCCCTATTGTGATCAGTTGGTGTTCTTAATATTTAATTGCAATCCCATTTTTTCACTGTGTTCTTTGACATTTCATTGTGTTCTTTGACATTCATTCCTAGAGACTGCAGGTCATCTGAGTTGATCCCATCCCATCAGTTTTCACTGTGTTCTTTGATATTCATTCCTAGAGACTGTCATCAGCATAAGCACAGATTATTGATGTTTCTTCCTCCAATTTTAAAACCGCACTCATCTTCTTCCACTCCAGCCTCCCTCAGTATATATTCAGCATGTAGGTTAAACAAATAAGGAGCCTTGTCTCACTCCTTCAACATCCTGGACCTAGTCCATGTTGCCATGTTCTGTCCAGACTGTGGTTTCCTTCATGTGATTAGATTTCGCATTAGGAAAATGAGATGTTCTGGGATTCCCCATTTCCTAAGGAGGTTCCATTGCTTGACATGGCTGACATAATATAGTGCCTTTCTATAGTCAGTGAAGCACAAATTGACTTTTTGGGGTATTTGTTGGCTTTCTCAGTTACACAGTGTGTGCCAGTAATGATGACTCTCATTCCTTAGTATTGTCTGAAAACAGCTTGATCATCTGCAGTAAGCACTCATACGCTGTAAATATTAAAGGCTCACATGTTTTCGAATATTCTTCACAGTGTATATTCTATCTGTCTTTCCTCATCATACATCACGCCCCCCCCCGCACTTTCCTACTTCTACCACCGTTTCCCATCATTATGAGTCCTGGGACTTTTGAAACTACATCTCCCAGTATGCTATGCGATTTTGTTTTACTCCTTCCGTCCGCAACATGAGGACGTGGAGCTGTCTCGGTTTCCACCGCAGCAAAGCTGCACACAAAAATACTGCAATTCCCACAATGCACCTGGCCGCCCCTTCTCCTTCCCATTTGACCACATACCTTCCTGTCTTAGAAAAAATAACCCTGAAGTTCCCTGCGATCAGCTGATCAACACTGACAACAAGGGGGGAAAGAGACGATCTTGGGACTGCCCTTATACCTAACCGGGGCACCAGATCTATACTCTGGGGCTCGGATGGTACGGTAGTTAAACCCTAC